AAATACAATACCCTGCAATACATTCTGAATAATCAGTGTCACTCAGTATGACCCTCAATATTAATCAAAAACAGATTAATCATGTTGAGGGAGTTTGACACTCATAATCTGTGGATAGATATTATAATACCAGAATATATTTCTTGCCCAGCAGTTTAAAGTGTTATTAAACCCACAACAGTAAAATCAGTCTGTATATGCAGTATACTTGTTGTACTCACTGTGGAACCTAATGGGTTATTCCTCTGCATCATGTAAAAAGGCTGTTTGATCCTGACTACTCTGATCCTCCCCTTCTTCCACAGTCCCCAATCCATCTGCTAAGAGGCACTCTGTACATGCTCGGTTTGATGTGTATGTGTGAGTTTGTTTTTTTGTTTTTCTTGGGGGGGGGGGGTGCATGTGTTCAACACAGGGCCAATCAACAGGGGGTCAGGGGTCATGCAGGGTCAGAGGAGAATGAAAACTCCTTCTACTCGATTAACCAGTGCTTGGATGGACACTGATAGAAGTCACAAGACTGCTATATACTGCTGATGAGAAAAGGTATTTAGCAGTTTATACTTACTAAAATAATTGCATTTCCATGTTCTGTGTACTGTGGGTGACCAGATATAGTGAATGCAGGGTCCGGGTTTAGTAACACTTTAAGGCTCCATTAACACTAGTGTTTTTATAAGCTCAGGAAATGTTAGAAAAAAAGTTGGATGTAGTAGCGTTTTAGTAGCATTTCAAAGTGTTTAGGAGCATTAGCATTTTATAAGCATTTTATTTACAGTATATATATATATATATATATATATATAGCTAGAAAAAAGCTGTTGGGAGCATATTAGTAGCATATAGTAGCATTTAGGAGCATTCAGCATTTTTTTCTGCTCGAAAAACACTCCCAAAATCTCTAGAAAAACTATTTATTTCTGCTCCTAAATGCTGAAGCTTGAAAAGCACTACTAACCTAAAATAGTGTATTGGAAAAACACTAATTAAATAATGATGCTCCTAAATGCTTCTAAACACTACAACAAGCTGGCATAAAATGCTATTATTAGTGGTTTTCCTCCAGCACTTTTTTTTGTGCTTTTTGAGCTTATAAAAACCTTTTTGTGCATGAAGCCTTAGCTAGGTTTCCTAATAAAGCAACAAATGTTGCATTCATTTCCAAGATCACAACCATGAAAAAATGACTGACACTGCATCCCTCATGGATTACTTGTATACATACTGTGTACATCTAAGTTTACAAGATCATTGTCTCCAGTGGGATTCCAGTATCTGTAAGCACATTTAAATAAGTTAGAGGTGGCTTTCATTTCATATTATTTTTACTCCAGGAAAGGGCTTTAAACTGAGGGGAAATGACAAATGTACTGAAATATAAAGTTTGGGTTTACATACTCCTTAACCACTTGACCTCTGGAAGGTTTTACCCCCTTCATGACCAGGGTATTTTTTGCTATTCAGCATTGTGCTAATTTAACTGGCAATAGCTCGGTCATGCAACACTACCCAAATTAAATTTGTATTATTTTTATCACATAAATAGAGCTTTCTTTTGAGGGTATTTAATCATTACTGGGTTTTTATTTTTTGCTTTATAAACAAAAAAAATACTAAAAAGTTTGAAAAAAACCCACATTTTTCTTAGTTTCTATTTTCTATTATACTAAGAGCAGAAATTATAAGAGGTTCTTAATATTAGTGATGTCCTAATGTCTTTTTAAAGTGCATCTGTGCTCTATTTATTAACATATAGTATAGACAACATTTTAACATATCAACAAGAAAACAAGCCATGCCTAACCTCTCTAGCCACATGTACTGTGAATTAATTAATCCTCAAAGGTTATAAAAGAGCCTTTAAAATTGTCTTTTAGCAGTTTCTAGCAGCTGACAACACTGAGCGGCAACTGTAATAGAAAGCAAAGGAAAAAGAAGCTGTGATTTCATTGTCTGTGTTGTGAACTTTGAACACAATCGGGTTGATTTACTAAAGGCAAATAGACTGTGCACTTTGCAAAGTGCAGTTTCACTGTGCAAGAGCAGTTGCTCCAGAGCTTAATAAATGAGCAGAAGCTCTGCTGACTTCCATCATCCAATCATGTGCAAGCAAAAGTGCATTTTTTTTCAATTTTCCTTGCACGTGATTGGATACTCCTTGCAAAGTTAATCTTTATCTCATTTACAAAGCTCTGGAGCAATTGCAGAGTCCAACTGCACCTTGTATGGTGCACAGTCTGTTTGCCTTTAGTAAAACAACCTCAATGTTTTTAGCTACAGAGGTGTATGATGGCTTGTTTTAAAAACCACTTACTGCTTGTTCAGAAGAGGTAAAAAATTTAAAGCCCATCTCTAGGTGGATAAACAATTATCCCTTGCAGTGGGGCTATGCCCGCACTGCAGGGGTTAATTGCTAATTTTGTCTAGGGAAGAGGAGAAACCCTTTTACTTACCTGATCCTCTGTTCCCCCGGCAGGCGGCGTTCACCCACGATCTAACGGTGGACTGTCTCTCGGTATCCTCATATCCAGAGAAGGGCTATGGACCCTGCTCTGGTCTTGATGACATCAGGACCCTAGACCATGGGAGTGAAGATGCTGCAGGAGGAGTGCAATATGTGTTCCCCTAGACATAAAAAAGCAATTAACCCTTGCAGTGTGGGCACAGCCCACACTTCAAGGGATAATTTATTTGCCTGGAGTTGGTTTTTAATGTGCATAGTCTGGGCACAGGATCACTTTAAAACAGGGGTGTCCAAACTATGGCCCTCCAGCTGTTGAAGTCTACAAGTCCCATCATGCTTCTGCCGCTGGGTATCTTGCCTGTGGATGTCAGAGTCTTGCAAGGCCTCATGGGACTTGCAGTTCCTCAACACCTGGAGGGCCATAGTTTGGACACCAATGCTTTAAAAGATCACTGCTGCATGCAAAGGAAAATTATCACCTGATTGTGACAAAAATGTAAGGTTCATATGACAATCACCATACATAAAATATTTACATCATTTTGTGAATTATCTGCACATATATGACTTGGGTAAAGAAAATCATTACTTGTTATACAAAACTATATCTGGCTTCCATATTTTTGAAGATGGTATTCGTATAAACTCAATTCCTCCATACTGACTTGGCTCCCATTTCAGCTTGTAGTCATTCCATAGCTGCAAAATAAAAGCAAATATTAGGTTATGTGTTTTACAAATGCCTCCAAAAGCTGATGTAATCTGCTTATACAACACATATTTTGCCCAGCTGCCGCCTATAAATATGCTAATGAAGTTTTTAATAAAACCTATTTTCATTACATACTTTATTTTAAACACAGTGATGTCATCACTGGATCTCTGGGCTTCTCTAGCCAGCCTTTTTCAAACAGCCAGCGGACCAATATAAGCCAGCGGGTGGAACAAGCCGGCCTTTTAGTTACACAAAACTGCAAGTTTTCATTTTGTACCATTACAGCCTTCCAGTCACCGGCGTCCTGACAGCCAAATACATCATCAGTTTATAAGTGGGATGTTGGTTCCCTGCACAGCATCCTTGTTTGATCCTCCCTTGCCCCCGTCCATCAGTGCTGGGGTCACATTAGCTCAGTGATGGAGGGAGAAGAGAAACAATGGAATACTAGTCAGTGCTCCATCTCTAATGTTGGATGTCCTACATGTGTGGATGTTGCTGTGTTATATAAAACTTTTAGAATCGTTTTTTACATTTTAGAATGGGGTGCCTCAAGACTGTTCATAATTTTAAAGGGTGCATGGGCTAAAAAAAAGTTTGAGAAACACTGCTCTAGACAATATCAGCAGCAGATCATGGCTGGTGGGGGTGCTGGCAGGGTGCTGTGCACAGCACAATAGAAAGAATGCTACTTACATTGTTGGTCAGTGGTAAGAATGTTCCTTTCATTGATGATCAGTAGGAGGCACATTCCTTACATTAGTGGTCAATGGAAATATTGGCCCGTACACTGATGGTTATGGGGAAGAATGACCCTTAACACTGGTGGTCAATGGGAAGAATTCCCCTTACATTGGTGGTTAGTGAAAAGAATGCTCCTTACACTGGTGGTCAATGGGAGGAATGTTCCTTATATTGGTGGTCAGTTGGAAGACTGTTCCTTGCACTGGTGATCAGTGGAAAGAATGCTCCTTACATTGGTAGCCAGTGGGAGGAATGTTCCTTACATAGCTGGTCAGTTGGAAGAATATCCCTTACACTGGTGGTAAAGGGGAAGAATGCCAATACATTGGTGGTCAGTGAGATGAATTCTCCTCTTACATATGCAAAAAAGATAATTGGTGTCACTGGGAATTTTACCCGAGAAACAGAAATGGCTCACCCAGCGTGCTAAGGAGGTACCAGGAGCAGGGAGGTGACAGCACTGGTGGGGGACTGCAAGAAGAGCAGAAGACAGTGGTTTCTGTGCAATTACCTCTTTATTTATTTATTTTTAATTGTCATTTAGTATTACTTAGATAGAAAAAAAATGATAGCAGAATAGTGTAGTCACCAGACATTTCTTATGTTGCTTTGTGTGTATATGTATTGCAGGATTGTTTTGTTTTACAATACAGACATATTTTGTACTTGTGTAGCAAAATTGTTTATCAGTCCACATAGACTGTTTTCTGCCACTATAGGCCACTTTTTTTTCCTAACTTCTTGCCAGCAAAAGTTTTCAGATTATCCCAAAATGGATGCCAAAAATTAAATCTATCTTCTCGTCCATCATCAGTGCCTGGCCTCACAAATGCACTTCTGGAAAAATGGTCAAACATTGCCATAGACACACTCCTAAACCTTGTGGACATCCTTCCCAGAAGAGTTGAAGGTGTTAAACTCAATACTGAACCCTATGGACTAAAACTGGGATGCCATTAAAGTTCATGTGCGTGTAAAGGCAGGCGTCCCAATACTTTTGGCAATATAGTGTATATGCCACACGGTTCTCACAGTTCCTTGTACTGCAGTGTTTGTCCATTAGATTTCTAGAACTGCATCACTCTGATGCAGGGGCGGACTGACAACTCATGGGGCCCCCAGGCAATAGGGGATCATGGGGCCCCTGTGTCCTTGCCCAAACTCAAAAAAGCCTATGAAAAAGGTACCAGGGGTATCTCATATATATATATTTGTGTTCAAAATAATAGCAGTCAGACATCACTAACCTGATCAATCACTGTTTTTGGTAGAAATGATATTTCTACATGGCAAATAATTTACTAGCAGGTGTAGTAGAGTAATAGAAATCCAACAGACCCAACAGTTATAACATGCATGCTGCTGATTCTGTGTAATTGAATCACTAATTGAAAGGGGCATGTTCAAAATAATAGCAGTATGGAGTTCTATTAGTGAGGTCATTCATTGTTTGAAAAACAGGTGGCAATTATTGCCCTTATATAAGCAAGGAAGGCAGCAAATGTTGTACATGCTGGTTACAGTGCATTTCTCTCTGAAATTCTGAGGAAAATGGGTCGTTCCAGACATTGTTCAGAAGAACAGCATATCTTGATTAAAAAGTTGATTGGAGAGGGGAAAACATATAAAGAAGTACAGAAAATGATAGGCTGCTCAGCTAAAATGATCGCAAATGCTTTAAAATGGCAACCAAAACCTGAAAGACGTGGAAAGAAAGCGAAAAACTACTATTCGAATGGAATGGATAAAAGAATAGCCAAAATGGCGTGGACTCAGCCAACAATCAGCTCCAGGAAGATCAAAGAAGGTCTAAAGTTACCTGTGAGTACTGTTACAATTAGAAGACGCCTATGTGAAGCCAAGCTGTCTGCAAGAAGCCCCCGCAAAGTCCCACTGTTGAAAAAAAGACATGTGCTAAAGAGGTTACAATGTGCCAAAGAGCACATTGACTGGCCTAAAGAGAAATGGCGCAACATTTTGTGACTGATGAAAGTAAGATTGTTCTTTTTGGGTCTAGTGGCCGGAGACAGTTTGTCAGACGACCCCCAAACACTGAATTCAAGCCACAGTACATTGTGAAGACAGTGAAGCATGGTTGCGCAAGCATCATGATATGGGGATGTTCCTCATACTACGGTGTTGGGCCTATTTATCGCATACCAGGGATCATGGATCAGTTTGAATACATCAGAATACTTGAAGAGGTCATGCTGCTTTATGCTGAAGAGGAAATGCCATTGAAATGGGTGTTCCAACAAGACAACGACCCCAAACACACCAGTAAACGTGCAACATCTTGGTTCCAGACCAACAAGATTGACGTTATGGAGTGGCCAGCCCAATCCCCGAATCTTAATCCAATAGAAAACTTGTGGGGTGACATCAAAAATGCAGTTTCTGAGGCAAAACCAAGAAATAGAGAAGAACTGTAGAATGTAGTCCAATTATCCTGGGCTGGAATACCTGTTCACAGGTGCCGGAAGTTGGTTGACTCCATGCAACACAGATGTACAGCAGTTCTCAGAAACAGTGCTTATACAACTAAATATTAATTATGTGATTCAAAGGAAAGCAAAATCTTCAAACATTTTTCAGTTTATATAGTGAATGTTTGAGTTTGTAAAGAAGAATACAAACACTGCTATTTTTTTGAACAGTCTAATATTCACTTTTCTTCAATTTTTTTAGAGGAACAACACAAATGTGATATATTCTTCTTCATGTTTTGATTTGGAATAGAATGTGTGTGTTCCCAATGCATTTGTGTGTATGGAAATAAAAGCTATTAGAAGGATTTTTAGCTTTATTCACTTTTTTCAACACACTGCTACTATTTTGAACACAACTGTATATATATATATATATATATATATATATATATATATATATATTACTCTTTTCCTTTGCAGTTTTTTAATTCTCTGTGTGCACTGTACAGGCCATTAGCCACACAGTGTAAACTTCCGGCTCATTTTCCAGCATCTTACAAATGTGCTAGTGACAATGTAAGTCCTGGACCTATGCTCAGGAGTTCATCTTCAATGGCTGAAGAAAATGTCTTGGGATCCATGACATAGCAGTTGCGGAGATGGCAGTGGCAGGGGACAGAGCTATTATGGTGAAGGCTCACCCAGCACAAAAAGGTTTGATATCCCTTTAAACTGACCTACTGACTTCAATTCATTTAGCAGAGCACAATATTCATAGAAAGATCAGACAACTTTATGTCAGTTTTCAGGTTTGTGACAGTGGTCTGAGCATGACAGCCAGGCAGCTAACATTTTTACAAAGCAAAGTGATCAATAGGCAATCAGTATTTTTGTCTTTTAATGCCCCAGAAATGTACTGTCTGCTATAAGATTGCGGCATCAGAAAGGAATTGTCTTTGGACAGCTGTTTTCCTGTAGAGGGAGCTCTAGTACTGAATAATCATTGTTCATCTTTCTAAAATTTCAGCTTTCTCATAAATTGAGCTGCTAACACATAAATGGAATCTGCTATAAGAACGTTTTTTTACCATTTCCAGAAACATTTAACATTTTGAAAGCAAGTATTTAAAGTGCATTAATAATTGGAGAGATTTCCCTTCATTTCCTGTCCTGGAGATGCACAGTATTTTGTTGTCAATTACATTTTCCCCCTTTTCCCATTGGGCTCATTCACATTATGTTTGTTCTTTCATTTTCTAGGCACCTGAGATGTAGTTCTGACTCCTTTCAGCCAGTGGTGAAACTACCAGGGTCACACTTGCCGGGGCCCAAGACTGTAAGAATGGGGCCCGCTGCAGAACATGTGAAAGGGTCCTGCTGTGGGACTGTAATAAAGAGACCTGCAACAGGAGTAAAGGGCCTCAGGATCTGTGGGTAGGGCCCTGGGCTTGGAGTTAAGAGCCTCCAAGCCCAGGGCCCCATGTAGGCTCACCCTGTAGAAGGTCTGGTCAAAGGTGGGCACATTGTCATTGGCATCCAGCACGCTGATGATAACCATGGCTGTGCCAGATCACTCAGGGACCTTTCCCCATACATGGCAGTGAACAACAACCTATGGGTCTTCTGCTGCTCCCTGCCCAAGGGTCTCTCCAGAACCAGCTCGGAGAATTTGCACCTCCAGGGAGAAGAAGTCTTTGAGGCTGAGCTTGTTGGTGCATAGGGAGTTGGTGCCCACATCAGGGTCCTGGGCGCTCTCCAGAGCGAAGCAGGCATTAGGAGCCACCTATTTAGTCACTTTCACCACATAGTCATGCCAGGAAAAGCTGGGCGTGTTGTCATTGATATCCAAAATCTCCACCTCAACCCTTTAGAGCTCCAAAGGGTTCTCTATCACCACTTGCAAGTGTAAGGAACATACAGATTGAAACTCACAAACTTCTTCCTTGTCTATATTCTCATTGACAAACAAAACTCACGTTCTCCAGGTTGACCTCCAGGGGGGCACTTCATGCTTTCTTGCACTGAGGGGGCCGTGGCCCATGAAGGTTCTAGTTACACCTATACTTCCAGCTCTGTTTGTCATAGTACCACACAAATACTGGGCCTAAAGTGTGCACTGAACTGAATGGCACAGATCACACTTTACAAGTGATTGGCAGAACACCCATAAAAAAACTCCCTGTGATGAATGCACTCCTATCACATCTAACGCAGTGTGAAAAAAAGTCACTTAACGTCTGCTTACTTTGCCCTTGTCCTGATTACTGATCCCTGCCATTTGCCCTGATCATTGTAAGATGACCACTGCTTATAGATTGTGATTTGGATTAATCATTGTGGACTGTCATCTCGTTGTTTGTTATTTTCTGAGTTTACATGATGTTCAACATGTTTAGAAATTATAATTCTTCATAAAAGACCATGTGGTAGCCAAGAAGTAGATTTCTAATCCATTAAAAAAACCTAAAGTAAGAGACAAAAGTGGGCTGCCATTGCACCCCTCTTTTAAAGAAGATTGTTGCCTGGCTGTCATACTGATCCCATGGCATCAGTACTTTCTAAATCACAGACCTTGAACAAGTATGCAAGTAGGTAGGTTCTTATTTTGTTCATCTCCTGCATGCTTGTTTCAGTGTCAGGACTGAGGTTGGCCATACACTATACAATTTTCTTACAATTTTCTGCTCAATTTCTTTTAGATTTACCTTCAACTATGTAGTGCAAGGGCCTGCCTAACTGGATACAATTGAAAGTGTTGTTTAGATTTGACCTCATATTATATGGTTTTTGGTAAATCTAAAGCAAAAATCTCAAGAAAATTGTATAATGTATGGCCAGCCTAAGGCCATACATTATACAGTTTTCTTGATATAATACTAGAGAAAATCAGCTGCCACCTTACAAAGTGTAGCCTATACTTACATGAAAAAACTAAATCAATCAGAGGGGTGCCACGTGCTCATAAAGCTAAATGCAAAAGTACTGTGCTAAACAGTGAACCAATGACTTGAACACAAATGTGCAAGTGATATACATACTGTATAACCATACAGAGAAATATACAAAGTGAAAGTCCAGCAGGAAAATAATAGTTAAATGGAAAAGAAGAATAAGGAGTTAGATAGGGCTGATTAGAGTAAACTAAGGGTCAAAGCAGTAGTAAACTGAAGGTAAAAAAAAAAAAAATCCCCTGCAAGGCAATATCATAATGTGCTAGTATGCATCACATACTAGCACACTATGAAGGACTTTCCCTAAAACGAAGCCCTCCAGCGGCACACTCTCACCACTGCAGAGGCTTCCATCTTCACCCGGTCTTCCTTCTGGGTTCATGTGCCCTCTGACTAGCTGAGCTGCAGTGATGCATACAGGAGTCCCAGGCCAAGGCAAAGTACTCTAATGGAATTACACAGGTATGCTGTTCCTTTAGTGCTCATGCGCTGGCTCTAAAAAAAAGAGCGAATATCTCCTAAATGGTGCACGTTTAGTAGATATTCATTTTACCTACAGGTAAGCTTTAATAAAAGTTTACCTGTAGGTAAAAGTTAAAAAAAGAGTTTACAACCACTTTAGCAAGGGGTTAAACAGAGGAACATTTAATTTAAAAAAACAACTTTTTTTTAACATGACAGGTTCATCTGCAGATTGAAGTTCATCCCTTTTTTAGATGACTAAACAGAAAGAAACAAAATGAAACAATGTTTCTATTTATCTTTCTGTTTTAGCAGTTGAGCTATGTTGCTAAAAATTGTCAGGCTGCTTCTTTTTGAGAGTTCTAATTGCTGAGAACTTGTTTACACTTCAGCTGTCTGCAGGGGAACCCCGCTGACAACTGAATGTGTCATCTGTTGTTAAGGACGCAGTGGCCCTGCTTGTTAACAACCGGTAATTACTGGCTTTTTTTAAATTTAAATTTCAGCTGTTAGAGGAGAATCCTGCTAACAGCTGAAAGACCCAACCTGAAGGTATCAGTTTTAGGTATCAGAGCATTTGCATAAGTACCGATACTCAGGCAAATACTTTAGTACTTGATACTAGATACTTAGTATGAGCACCAATATTGATACTGGTATTGTATTGCAATTCAGTCTTCCTGATGGATCTACCCTAAAAATCACCAGTATAGTATATAACATGACAATGCTGGATTCTGCCACTGTGGAAAAAAAAATAAAAGGTATTCTTAAGGAGGCAGACTGAAAAAAAATTGGTTTAGAAGAAAGCTAAGCTTTTTATTCTCTCTGGGTTTTAGAAGCCCGGATGAGGGTCTGGATCACGGAGGCTTCAATGAGAATTGGGTGGGAAGAAACCTCCAATCCTGTGTCCAGATCTTACCGAAGACCAGCGGGCTGAGTGTGCAGATGTGCACACCTCTTATAGTCTAGGACCTGACAGTTCTGCGTAGTCCCCGTGGGTGCAAGGGAGCAGCCAGAGATGTGCAGCATGATCTAGGTGCAGTCTGTGATAGAACAGAAGAAGGCCCTAAGACTGAGGGCCAGAGCAGGAGAGAGCTGAAAGAGAGAGAAAGTTGTGAGAGAGCTGAGAGTTCCAGAAACAGAGGTACAGAGTCCATACAAAAGCACAAAGGTGCTGGGAGTTGGTCTGTGGGACCAAATCAGAGGCCCGAGGCTAGAGCCTGAGCAGCAGTTCTGTAAAACAAACCCAAGAGACTAAAGCCATTTATGTTCATTTGTTTTCCATTTTTTGGAAAGATGGTGGGAACCCTTGCAGACAACTGTTTGTTTTGTTTTGCTTTTCCTTCCATTTAAATGAAAGTGTGCCAACAAGCCCTAAAACGACATATCTGGTGTGGACTGTACTCATTGGTGAGTACTAAACTTGAGCGAAACCCCCCAACAGATCACAATATATATAGTGTGTGCTTAAGATATAAATGCTTTGTCCCTAAGTAAGTAATCAAGTTATTTATGCTGAGCGCCAGGGGCGGACTGACAAGTCATGGGGCCCCTTGACAATAGGGGATCATGGGGCCCCTGTGTCCTCACCCACACTCAAACCACACCCAAAAAAGCCTATGAAAGGTACCAGGGGCATCACATGGGGCCCCCTACTGACCCCGGGCCCTCGTGCAGTGCCCGAGTTCCCAAATGGTTAGTCCGCCCCTGCCGAGTGCTAATAAGCTATTGCAGCTGTGCAGTATAAACTGTGCACAATTAAAGGGGTAATCTAGCTTGGGCAGAAGCACATATGAAAGTCTTCACCTGTGACTGGTTATGGACCACTGTTTTACATTTGTTTTGACAGAAATAATATTTTTATGAAGGAAATATTCTAAGAACTTACGTGTTTCAGCCAAAGGTTGGTTTCCATGATCTGATTAACTTCATCCTGTGGACATACACAAAGAAAACAGTTACTATACTATATCATAGCAATATGGTTCAATAGGTTTAGTGTATAATACAGATTGTTAACCACTTCAATACCGGGCACTTTTACCCCCTTTCTGCCCAGGCCAAAGTTCATCTTTCAGCACTCTCACACTTTGAATGACAATTGCGCGGTCATGCAGCACTGTACCCAAATTAAATGTTTATCATTTTGTTCACACAACTAGAGCTTTTTTTTTTGTGGTTTTTAATCACCACTGGGGTTTTTATCTTCTGCTAAATAATCAAAAAAGGCCAAAAATTTTGGAAAAAAAAAACACAAGTTTTTCTTCCTTTCTGTTGTAAAATTTTGCAAATAAATAATTGTTCTTCATAAATTTAGGCCAAAAAATTTCTTTGGTGAAAATAACCCACATGAGTGTATTTTATTTGGTCTGGAGGAAAGTTATAGAGTCCACAAACTACGGTATATATCTGAAAATCAATCAAACTGATCTAATTTCTTGAGGCCCAGAAATGTCAGGACAGTACAAATATCCCCCAAATTACCCCTTATTGTAAAGTAGACAGTCTGAGGTATTTAGTAAGAGGCATGGCAGGTTTTTTGAAGCTGTAATTTTTGTAATACATTTTTGAAAAATGAAGAAATTTTATTAAAAAGTTTCAGTTTTTTTTTTTAAATACTGTCACCAGTGCAGTACAGTGTCATCATATAACTGGTGTGGTGGTGATCAGAGACACTGACTGATGACAGCGCAGAAAAACATTTTTTTTTTCAATTTTCTTTTCTTTTTTTATTAATTTTTTTTTCACTATTTTTATATAACACGCTATTTTTTTTATAACATGCTGTGACCAGTGCAATATATTGTTACCATAGTAACAATGTACTACTCTGGGTAAGTGATCAGTTTTTCCTTTTTGTTCTTTTTTTTTTTGCACATGATTGCTTATAGCAATGAATTTTATTGCTATAAGCAAGCATTTTACTGAATGAAATAAATTCATTCAGTTTCTTTTGTTGTGATTAGCTGTGATTGGCCACAGCTAATCACATGACACAGATGGACTGTGCTTGTCCCAGTCTGTACCACATGATCACTGTGACCGATCACAGCTAGCAACACAATTGTATACAATGGATAGCATGAAAGGAATTATTTACAATTGTCATGTGACCTACTGTGATTGGTCACAGCGGTTACATGGTACCAGCAAAGGCAGGTGCACAGATCAATCATCGGTGACAGATCTCGCCACAGTATGGCCGTGGGGCCACACGCAAAGCAGGGATCGGGGAGGATGTCCTATGACGTGCACCCAGATCAACTAAAGTCCCAAACAGCAGTCATTTTTTATTATAGGCTGGGTGGGAACTGGTTAAAGAAGAATTCCAAGCATGGCCATATTATACATATAGTCTTGGACTAGTATAACTATGTGTGTACCATATCTAATGCCCCTGGAAACTGGAAATAACTGATATAGACACTGCTAATCCAGTGATCTCCACTTGCCTCTGGGTCCTGTGCTGAGCGGGCCATGTGGGTGGGGCCCCCCAGGGGTACATCTTTTTGTGTATACGGTCACCAATGCCTGGGACCAGGCAGGGCCGCGTTCATATGAATGTCAGCATTAATGTGTAGAGATACACTGTGTGCAGTTGTATAACATACAGAGTCTCTCATTCTGTCCCATTTCACTACACACCTTTGCCTTATGGATATTGCATTTAGGAGGGACACCGCTGCTGAACCTGTGCCTTTTCCATTAGTCCATCGTAACTGTGCCCCTCACTCCCAGTGACAGCATGGAGTCCCGCCATGCACCAGCTCAGACCTCATGCATGCACGCAAATTAAAGGATAAGTTCACCTTTTTTTAAAAAAATAATAAATGCTAATTTTTTGCAGGTAAATAAATGTGCATTTTTTTTTACTTTATAGCCTGTAAAGCATTGCAATCTGCAGATTACGAGTGCCATGCAGAACTCCTTCAGGCTTGTCAACCTTATACAGGCAGTCAGATACACACTGACAGTAAGAGAGAATGAACTACCACAGGACTCAACAGCGCCATGGTAGTTCATTGAGAACTACAAGCCGACAGCCGCAAAGGTTGTCGAGACCTGTAGTTTTCCAATTCACAGAACACAGTGGATGATGAAGGATGATGAAGCTGGATGGGCGAGGCCTGCTTCATGGCACGGTCACTTTTTTTTTCTGATTGTGACAGGTAGTGGGTGGAAAAGAACCTCTGCTAGCTGTCTAAATGAGGGATTGGGGGGGGGGGGGGGGGGGTGGTTCAATTGTAACATGTTACAATTGTTACACGTTGAATATGGGTGTAACATGTAACATGTTACAAAAGGTGAACTTATCCTATAACTGCTTCTCTCATGTACCATGCAGCAAGGTCCCTAAAGTCTTTGTACAGTGGGTTGAGTCCTGAATACTCTTTGGGGGAACTGACCACTAGGGAGAGAGCCGAACACTGACCCCCTTGCTACTGGAGGACCTGTCACCTGCACCAGGTACTGCTGTTGACCGGCTGCTATCACGTCCCCATCAGTTCATGGTTACCCATGCAAAGTACACTCCTCCAACTGTCCTGTTGAGTCAACCCTTTTTTGGTGGCCTTCCTGTTGTTCTACCCCGTGTGTACTTTACAGGCCCTGTACTCCTAGATATGCCATGTACCTTCATGTACCCCCTTGTGTAACTTCAGACCAGTTCAAGAAACTTTATTTGATGGCTGCATCAGTGCAGTCCAAATAGTCAGTAAACCATAATTAATGTTTTTAGGCTGCCCAGACGTATCTCAACAAGTAGAAGTCCATTACTGGCAGTGTCCAATATAGATAAGTTACTTTTACAAGTGCTTGCTGGTTGATTCTGGCGTGGACCTGTTAACTTGTTCACATGCGGTCCTTCCGCTCTCTTGGACCAAGCCTTTCCCCTATTTATATATACCAAAGGGTGAAGGGCAAGCCCAGAAAAATCTCTGGAAACCGGCAGACCCAGTGTTAACCCTTTCCCACCTGGGCATTCTAACATCTCTATGTAATAACAGCCCAACTTGTAAGCATCTGCCTACAGCCGGCCTTGTGCATTTTGAACACAGGAGGTCAGCAGCTCACCATGGATGCCATTCAGAGAATACTTTGCATCTTCTGAATGGAAATCATAGGAGAAGTTGGAGAGGCAGGCAATGACATTCCACTCCCCACTACGTCAAATAAGAGAATGCTTTGCATTGAATCAGAAAATGCAAAGCATTCTCTGAATGGTGCCCATACCGAGTGTGCCAAGGTGGACCAATGTAACTATGTAAAGATATATTCCATAACTATCAATGGGGCAGAAGGTAAGAAGCAATCAAACATTTACAGCCATAACTGGACAGGACATGAGGGAACAGTTCCAATGAGGACACATGTCTCTTCCCTGAATGTGGATATTTCCTCTTCCTTCCTGTTGAGTCTTAAGGACAGAAGCAAGGTCAATGGCTATACCACTAATTATATGCCAGGAATATATCTTACAGCTAAAAACTGATGAAAGGAACAGTTTCCTGCTTTAGATTTTTCAGTTCAAAGTTACATCCAACCCAAGACACACACAAATATGGTCCACATTAAACATTTTTTTGCATACTTCATATCATAGGACACTTTAAGCCCCTTCACCCCCCCCCCCCACCCCAGTTTCCTCTCCCCTAGCCATACAATCAAGTGTTCCCACAGAATTTCTGAAAAATATATCTGCCCTAGAGAGGCAGCTTCTCCAAGATGCTATGGCCAACCTTACCTTTGAACCTTCCATTCAGAAGCCATAATTATGACAAATAGAAAATAATTTGATATGTGATGAATACGTTGGGAATTCAGAAGGCAGGTGCGATGGTACATTTCAGTTCCATTTAATTAAAAGCAATCAAAATAACATAAAAAAGGCAAGTCCTCACCACTTTGACAAGCTGGGACATTGACACCTCAAATTGCACGATGACAGGATTGGATACATTCTCCACTGGTCGAATATATGGGTTGTATTTTTCAAATAAGGTTGTATATAACTTGTGCTCAGCATCAGAACAAGCACACACTGAAAATGAAACAATGTGTCAAAGTTATAATGTGTTCAGTAAGAAAATGTAAATCAGAGGAAATAAGTTACGAAGCAGCTAGGAACACCTTAATGTGCCCTGTCCTATAACCAACTGAAATTATACATAAAGTAGAATTCCAGGTTTTACATAGCTAGTCTTAAAAACACTCCTTCCCCCTTGCTAACACCTAAACCAACTAACCTGTGTAAAAAAGATGTATATACTGTACTTATCTATTTTCTTGTTATCTCCTCTGTGTCAGCCAGAACAGATGCATGAGAGAACAAAAAGCATTCAACAACACCTGGTTATGCCTGGGAACAGTGACATCACCCATAGGCTCCTAGGGCTCATTCGTTGTTGGCACTCCCTCCTCTCCCCTGCAGCAGTGCTGGCTGACAAAGGGGAAGCAGATCATGTGACCAGACTGGAGCAGCATGAACATAGAAAAGTATCCGCATTTTTCTTATACAGGTTAGTTAGTATAGTATTAGGAGGGGGAGGGAGCACTTTTAAAACTAGTTAGGTAAAGCCCAGAATTCTACTTCAACAACTTCGCACAAGGCAGTGCTAATTCTGTACCCATCTTGAACAGTGAATGATAAGCCATTAGATTAATTCTAAGCAGTGAAATGCCTAAGACTATAAAAAAACAGAGGGAGCTGTCAGGAGCAATATAAACTTGAAATATTGCCACAGCACATCCAATACTCAACGCATATACAGTGTCTATTGAAGTCATGGTGCAAAGGAAATATTTTAAAAGGGCAATGATTAAAAGAAACCTATAATGAGAACAATATGGAGG